TTTAAATTTTTCTTTTTTTTTTTATAACATATTTACCGATCAAAGGTTATTTTGGAATTACACAAGAATGAAAAGGTCATTTACTTCTATTTCCTCTCCAAAATGGTCAGTTGATTGATAAGAGATTCCTGTTTCACGAGGAATATTGTATACTGGAAGCATTACAAATGGGATTGGAGGCCCAGTGGGATAAAATGCAACAAGGCCATTGTTATCCTTTATCAATTTGATAGTGCAATCCATTCCTGATCATAATCTTCAGCCTGATTTGTTGTATGTTCAGACATAATTTTGCCTTTTCCATGGCCAATAAACGGATCAGCAGCAACTATTTTCTTTCCCCGTCTTTCATTTGTCGACTTTGGGCTCTTTACTGATGGTCCATCCCAAGAACCCTTCGAAGAAGCTCTACTTCTCAAAGAACCACTGCGAGTATCAGAAGGGAGCCTTGAAGTTGCAGGTCTTTCTTCCCCGTAAGCCTTGCTACCTCTGATATCATACAATGAGAAATTATTATTATCCAGCAAGAATTCGTTGTTTGCTTCCACAATCTAATTCATTGGGGAGCAGAAATCGTGTTGGAATTCAAAAATTTTATGAATCTAGGGTTGTGGATGATTTGGGGATGGAGAGAACGTACTGAGGGATGGGGAGAGAGTTGGGGAGAAAAAATTGTGTTGGAAAAGATATACGATTTAAATTAATAGCCACGTAGTCAATTTTTTACGGTGTTAGTTGCCACGTAATATTTCCGTCTGCCACGTAGAGAGCTGGATGGATGAAAGTGAAATGGGTGATGGATGTGTAATTTTTTCGAAAAGTGGACGAGCATTCGGTAACCATTTATTTTTAGATGAGCAAGTAGTAATCGAAGTCAAATGTGGGTGATTGATGATTTAATTAACTCATTGCTAGAATGATTTGGTGGATTACTTAAATGGTCATTCGGAAATTTTGACCACTGGACATTTAGATATTTACTTTGGTGGAAATTGAATACAAATAAATATAAACATTATTCCCAAATTGCTAAAGATGCGTTAGCTATTCATATATCCATAATTGTTTATGAGTTTACATTTCCTACTAGTGATCGAATTCTTGATTTTTTTTAGAAGTTTGTTGAATACAAATATGGTTGAGGCGATGATTTAATTCGCCAATTTTGGTATTGTATGATTCACAAAATGTTATAGAAAATATTATTGTATTTGATATCTATTATTTTCTTTTATTAGTTGTTTCATATCATTTAACCATAACCAATGAATTCATGTACTATATTTTTACATTAGAATGAATCATGAGTTACAATTGCAGATGTTGCACCATTACTATCGACTAAGGGGTTAAAAGGTTGCTATAATAAAAAAGGATGTACCGCATCCTTAGCGGCCCCCACTTGCCCTGCCCTGGACCTTGGTGAAGAAGGTAAATCGCAGGTTATGCCTCCAAGAGTATAAGGTGGAAGACTGCTTGTACACTTGTACTTACCAAATGACCAAATCCATATTTCAGGATTCGAACCCTCGACGCAGCAGCCTCAAGCAAAACTGAAGTTTTTCCAGCCTCAACCCATTACTATCGACTAAGGGGTTAAAAGGTTGCTATAATATTGTTGCATTATAATGATTATAATTATAGAACTTTGGTTTATAATATTTTTAAAAATACAATTTATGTTTTAACATGAAATTATAGACTAATATTTATGATTGAACTTATTCGATATATGTCATTTTTTTCTTTATTAAACTGTGAGTTTAAACCAGACCAAACTGAAAAAAAGTGATTTGGATTGGTTTGGTTTAAAAAATAAAATGATTTGATTTTGTTTGAAAAAATTTCAAACTGCTTTAAGTGGTTTGGTTTGAAAATTAGTTGTAAACTGTGTTCCCCCTACTTGAAACGATCTAAAAGTCTGCTTCTTTAAAAGTCTTTCATGAAACAATCTTCACAATTCAAACAACCAAAATTGTTATTGTTTGACATCATTCAAGTCGACATGATTTGATTGGTGAAAAAACTGTTTATTT